TTTTAAAAAAATTAAATGTAAAAATGTAAAAATATATATTTATAACGGAGAATCCCCGCCCCGTCCCCGCCCCCAAAATTTCGAGGACGGGGGCGGGGATGGGAAAAAATCCCCAATAGGGTGGGGATGGGGATGGCCCCCCCTGCCGTGCCTTGCCCCGTTGCCATCCATATGTGTTACCTATGTTTGAAGTCCCTTGGTACTGATTATGCGAACTAGCTGGTTAGCAACGTAATTCCTAATGATTTAAGTAAGCACAAGATTGAGAAGTTCTTTCATGATGTTATATTTATAAATAAGATGAAACTTTCTTGTTTAAATTGAGACATAACAACATTTGTAACGCCCCTAAAGTTCAATCAACTCAAATACGGTACGTTACTAAAACCTTCTATTCACTCAACACCATCAACTGAGAATAACTACATTTTGTCCAACAACTTTAATTAAAGCAACTTAATCAACATTTTACCACTACAACCTAGCGGCTAAGATAAACTTAAATACTGAAATGGCAACGAAGCGAAAGCTACTCATTTAGCTAATGGCAATCTCAAAAGTTCAAATTCTCGCAACTCGAACAAATAATCAAAACTAGAGTTCTTAAAATTGTAAACCGACAACTTTAAAGCGTTCTTTAAGTAGGAATCTAAACCAAACTCACACTAGAAAGTAACACTTCCACTATCCTATCCAAAAAGGAAATAAATAGCGCAGCGCTAAATATGGTCCCCCTGGTCAAGTCTCCTCCTCGCTATCACCGTTCCTGTGGGTGACCTCGTTGCCTGCAAAATCTGGAGGGAAAAAGAGGGATGAGTACAACCACGGTACCCAGTAAGCAGTCCATACCTAAAGGTCACGTACAAACAACATGCTTCACAAAAAAAAAGGTTCAAAAACGTGTTTAACAATTCATCATGCTTTCCATAATAAGAGAGTAGAGACATATCTAAACATACAACCTACATGTCAAACCCATCCTCGCATCTCAATTCACTAGTTTTCTTTCCTGTTTCTCCATGACTTTCACTTAAGAGTCGTACCGACTCCTGACCACACATAGCCAAGGTATCGACACTCCACTAAACACACTAGTTCT